TTATCAGTTCTGCACATTAGTTTAATGATTTTTTACAAAATGTATGTATAATATAAAACCTATTGCATGCAGCATCCATATTGACAGGATATTAATGACTTTCATGTAGTTTATTACATTTAGAAGATATTTATGTAGTATTGAAAACATGCCCAATACTTGTCTTGATCCACCTGTAAATATAAATGCATGTTCAACTGTTAATTCGATATCATATTGCGATTGTAATGTACTATATTGATTAAAAGTATAATCTTAAAACTATTGATCTGACAATATATTTACTTCAACCATAAAAGACTTTGCACCAATATTTTACTATTATAACTGTATATAAATATCAATGTAAATTTACACTGCGCTTTGATGTAGAATTTCAAAGGCAATAATTTTGTTTAAACATCAAGAAGTTGCATTTGAATTTTTTTGCAATGTAATAGTTTATAACAATATTTATTTATCTTTCATTTTTTCTTCAATAACAAATTAAAGAACAATAAAATAACGACTCTGACATATTTGATCACACGATATATTAATAGTACCAATATACATAAAAAGGTAAATTTTTCGATGGCGTTTTCTTTCTTTCAAATAGTCTTCGTTGATTAACATTACTTTTCAATTGAATAATACTATTTTGATAATAAAGTTTAGTTACAACTTTCTCTGAGTGAAAACGCTGGCAACTGTTTGATAATGATAACGTGAAAGTAATTCCATTGTATCATTATTAAATAAATATGAAAATGCATTCTTTAATACAAGCCAAGTTCGATTACTATATATAATATTTTCATGTTGATTTGGTAAATGAACATCATGATAACCTAATATTGAATTAAAATCAGATGAAAGAAATTCTTTATTAGGATCTAAACGAGAACCTCGAGAACGTTTATCAACATATGTACCATAGAAGCGTTCAGCTTGTGCGATTAGTAAACTAAAAAAAAACAATTCTTTTTTTTTACTTTAATTTTCGAGATAAAAATTCTCTTTTACCTAATGAATCTTTGATCAATATCCCATTGTTTAGTACCTTTAATAACATTTTTAGGTAAAGATACATTCATTTTTTCTTTCAAACAACATTCAATCATATCGACAGTTATATTTGATGATATTGAACAATTATTTAATGGTAAAAATAATTTTTTCCATAAGCCTTGTTCCATTCCAATGTATGAAATTGGATAATAACGAATATCATGAAAATCTCCATATGAAAACTTATCACTTGGACAACAATATGCATTAACAGCAAGAATATAATTTGTATGATTTCTAACAATTTCATAACGACTACGAGTTATTGGTAGTAGATCAGCATCACTTGTCATTATAAAATAATCTTTTGTTGTATTGAAGTCATATGAAAAAAAACCACCGAATAAACGTATCATTTGACTTAATGATATTGAACGTGATGAATCAACGTTGATAATGTGATATTCTATTTTTAAATCATTTTTGAGAAAATTAATTAATGGCATTTTTGCAAATTTTTCATTTGAACCAACAAGAAATATAATTGGTTCGAAACCAATACGACGCCATGCTAATGCTGTAAATGGTAAATAATAACAGTAAATAGATGTATAAGAATCTGATGAACAAGATAATAATACAAGATTTTTATATAATGATGGAAAGTCAGTTGGATATAAATGATTTATCAATGGTGGTAGTATAGTTATATAGAAAGGTTGTGTTTGATACAAAACAAATACACTACCAAGTACAATAAAAAATAAAGATAGCCATACAAAACGAATTTGTGGTCTGCCTAGTTGAATAAATTGACAAATAAATGACATCTTTTACAATATCTGTACCTACGCATTTTAGATAAATATTTATTGATTAGAATGACTATGTTGTAAAAACTAGTTGTTTTAATTTTGCCTGCTTCTAAGAAAGAACGCAAAGAAAAAAAAAGAGATATATAAAAATAAGGAAAAGAATCAATACTATGGAGGATGAGGGTGGTGTGAGATGAATAATAATGGATGGTCTACAAATACGGAGATGGAAGACAGAAAAGATAGAACAGAATACAAACAAAAAGAACGAATAGGAAGCATGGATGGAGCTAACGTCTAAGAGAAAGATTCAGAATGTGTTAGTATGAAAGACAAATGAGTACTGTTGTTTTATTGAAATATTTTAATAGGAAATTAAATACAGAAAAATATTTATTAATTAATCTTACTTGTATAAGATTTGATATAATTTTTGGGACCATACAAACAGCCAGTTGTACAATGCTTATACCAAAAGCGTTTGAATTTTTTGTAAGAAAACATATCTATGTAAACAACTAAAGTCCTCAATACATTAAAAAAACCCGAAGACTTCTATTTTTTCTCTTCAGAAAAAGTCAAATTTTTTTGTAATCTCAATAATGACTCCTAATTTTAATCTCTTTTTGCTCAATACACCGTGCTGAATAAACAAATTTATTTTAGTTATTCTACATTCCACTTATACATTGAAAAAAGAGCGGGTAATGTTCTAATGCAAAAAAAGGAACAAAAACAATTAATGGTCAGAAGGATGTTCTTGAAAGAATATAGACAACATATCTTAAAGTTTTGATGAGAATCATAATAGCACTGCTTTTTCTAAAAAAAACGATTTATCATTGATGGTATTTATGTTCTATATAACTACACATCCTAGGGTAAAGATCTTCTTCTCTCATTGCTTCTATACTATCATACTGTTCATGAAATTGATTATCACATAAAGATATAACCTAAGGGTTTCATGACGAAATAAAATTCTGAGGCGATATCTTTATCAGGCAATAGATTTTGAGTAAAATTTAATCGGGCAATAAATAATACGAGTGGGCAATAAACATTATCATGGAGAACGCAAAAAAAAATTCTATATATGCCAATGATGTATGTGATAACGATTGTAGTCGAACTGGAAGTGTATTAAATTCAAGATTTCGATAAATAATGTACGTCAAAATCGCGAGAAAAGAATGAACGAAAAAAGCATACAATAGCCTATTTTCTTTCTCGTAGAGAAGAGTCTAGTAAACATAAATTGTTTACTTGATTGCTTGCTTGTGTGTCCGCACGGTCAAAAAAACATTGAAGACCAATTTTCTGGAAAAGACATTGCTAGAGGTATTTCGATGCAGGGAGTTCGAATTTGAGGTCAGTTGGGTGACTGGCGAGGGAGGGGGTGAAGAGGTGGCAAAGGTAAAAAACATCGAAAACCTATTTTCGACGGTTTTCAATTGTTTTTCCAGTAAATGTGAAGAAAATGCATTTGTACGAGAAAGAGCTAAGTGAGTTCTCAGACGAGCGTTACTTCTTTAATAAATAGGGTGAGTGTGAGTATAATGAAAATAAATTATGTAGTCGCATCAATCCACACACAATTTTACTCTCAAAAAATATGCAGAGTTCCAATGAATTTATAACAAGTTGTCAGATCTAATTGACAACATCTTATGAATATTTTCAGCAACAAGGCTCTATTTACATCATTGTCAAAAAGCATTTTTTTCTTTAGTTCAACGATATGAATGATTCTATTACAGATATTACTCATATTATACATGTGTATGATCCTGTGATTCAGTTAATAAAAATATTTGTCTTTTAATTCATATATATTTTATTTACACGCCAGTATTAGTATAATGTATGTATTCGAATAAAAAACACTCAAAATCATTATTTTTTGGAAGGAATAGAGAAAAATGTTAGCTGGGGAAAAAATAAAAGGTTAGTTTCACACCTTGATAAATAGCATGATTATGAAATAAAACAAAATAGTGTCAAAAATCCGAGATAAAAGAAAATTGTCTTTAACGTCGAAGAATATTTTGCATTCGTTGTTTGTGTCTTGTTTTTGCAGCAATGTTTGATGGTTTGTACATATTCGTGAATTTTGTGAAAGCAGCATACATGGCCAGAGCATGTACAGGCATAAAAAAGACTATGGTAATAGCTGACATAATTGCAACTGGTTGTTTACATGCATTTTCCTAATATACATATATGTATTTATATCAAGAATATCAATCATATTTCAGTAGAAACTTACGAAATCTAATGGATAAAAAACAGGAATAGTTGATTCAGTTGTCGCACCTGTGGTAGTTGGGCCTGCTGTTGTTGGACCTAGAATACAAATTAATTAATTATAAAGTACTCTATTAGAAAGAAATATTTTATAAAAAATGCCATCTCTTACCAGCTGTAGTTGGAGTTGTAGTCGTGACAGTTGTTGTAGTCGTGGAAGCATTAGTACTAGTTACTACTATTCCACTTGTTGTACACTATGAAAAAAGTGTAATATTAAGAATAAAAAATAATAATTTAAATAAACTTACTGCAGTATTGATTGAAGTAGTGGTTGTTCCTAAGCTTGTAACTGTATGAGTTGTTGGTGGAGTAGTAGTTGTTGTGGTTGTACTCGAAAGTGCTGGATTCCAGATATCGAATCGCCAAAATGTTTTATCAGTAATGGCTAACGATTCAGCATCTGTAGATTTACATCGATTATGATAAAATATTTAATCTTTTACTTTAACGGAAAAAATAGACAGAAAGACTTACGACAAAAGACACTTCCACTAGCAAATCCATCACCCAATGTTACATAATAGGATTGACCAGGTGTCCATGTATAATTTGTAACAATTACAATAGTATATCCAGTATAAATAACATTTGGAGAATATCCAGCATCATAACAGAAAACTGTTGCATTTGTACTGTCATAGTGAAAGCAGATGTTTGTATTATTGAGAGAAGGACGACCAACTGCACTTGTTGCTGTATAATTAAAATAAAAGATGGAGAATATCAGATTAAGTTAATAATAAAGATAAACTATGTGTGGAAAAAAATACCTACCTTGTATGGAAAACAACGACTGGTTTGAAAAGACAGTACCTATTGGACTTGCTGATCCTTGTACTAATGTAGGACGAATTAAATTCGGTGAGTCATAACCAACTAGATATGTAATACACCATGGAGCTGATTGTAAACTACTATTGTCAATTGCACCAGCACAAAAACCTTGAGGACCAGATTGTGTTGCTAAAGGTGTCCATGTTAATGTCATTATCCATAAACCTAAGATAATATATTTCAAATAGAAAAGTTTACATATTCTAACAAACTACTATTCATTACTTACCAGGACTTGGATTGCTAATCTTACTATGTTGCATTCCATAAGGTGAACTAGTGACTAAATCAACAATTGTTTGACCAGGACAATATGTTTGTATCTCTACAGTTTCATTGAGCTGAACATCTAAAACATAGATTGTAAATATCAGAAAAGAAAAGGCATGCACTGCACTTACTATATGGAACTCCAATGCAAGCTAAAAAGAATTAAATAGACAAGAGATAATATTATTACATGTTTAAGTTTAATTTATAATAGAATATACATTCATACCTCTATTTGGACGGACACCAATAATTGAAGGAGCAGTTGCACATGCACCAGCGGAAATATTGTATGCATAGAATAAGAATTGTATTGGAACTGAACTCATTGGATACGGGGAGCTAGTGCTATAATAATCTTCGATTTGCAGTGCACAAGCATAATATATAGAAGCCTTTGGTAAAGTGAAAGTCAACGTACAATTAGATCCGGTAAGTGTATATGGAGAAGGTATTCCCATACAGACATTTGCACATTCATCATTTCGGTTGTAATTGGTTCCACTATTCGTAGTGCCCCAACGGCATTGCAATGTATCAGTAGCATCATTATCTGCCATTTGTACAATGTGAACGACTGGTACACCTCTTGGGTACATTACTACTGGTAATGTAGTTGTAACAGGACTGGAATTGATATAACTATCAGGTCTCGGAGCTAGATTCATTCGATTGACAATCGACCAAGAACCACTTCCACCTATATAGAGTGCAGTCAACCATTGACTTCCGCTATAGCCAATTGTAATTGATGTTGTCAAAGGCATTGTCAAAGTAGTGTAGAGTTCACCGCCCCATGATTCAATGAGCGAGTTTGTATCACAATCTGAAGTTATCATATTGGCTGCAATTCCACCTGGAGGATAGTTAGACGATGAGCAGTTTTGTAAACAGTACAAAACAGCACCGCCTACAGTAATAGGTGTTCCAGCAACGACATCTGCTTCCGTGCATAAAGGTGGAGGAAAACCGGCATACATTCTCCACCAAAAATATCTTTGATGTAAAAGAATTTGTGTAGTAGTACCCTGTACTGTACTGTTTAACGGACGCCTAACAAAAAGAAGAATGTAAAAAGTTAAATATATGCAAGATTGATTAGAAGAACAAGCATTATTTGAGTATACTTACCATGAAATGATACCACCACGAAAATGGGTTCCATCAGACACAGAACATAGTGTAAATAAAATGAGAAGGACAAGGTATAAAACCTGCTCCATATTGTTTGTAATCAACTGTTGTTTCTTCTTTGTATAATGAAATAAACGATCGGACAACAAACCAAAATTGTACGTTCGTGTTTCTAAAATGAGTATAGAATATACTTTTTTTCCCTTCTTTTATATGTGCGTGTGTTCGTTCTCAGAGATCACAATAAAAGTGCATTTGTTGTTGACCATGAAGTATTTGCTTTTTGGGAGACAAAAAAAGAAACAATTTTAATGGATTATTGTTAAACATTAACGAAAGAAAAATCAAGCAACAGAGTATATTGTATGATTGTTTATTTTGCCAACTCTCTCTCTCACTCCCTGATTTCACAATAAGAAAAGAGGAACGTGATTTAAATCAGAAAATGCACTTTTGATCACCAAAAAAAGTACGTTCGATCACTAAAAATAGTGCAACTGATCATCAAAAAAAATTACATTTGATCACCAAACTAATTAGCGCGTAGTGAGTAATAACGAGTTCATTATATAATTTTTGGATAATACATCTATGATAGGTCATATACTTGTCGTAAAGGTTGATTAATCGATGTAACGAGATTGCATAAAAAAGAATAATCCAATTCGATCTGAACGATTCAATTAACTAAAAATACTTTTAAAGTGTGTTCCGTCATAAGGAATCATCACATATAACAAATGTTTAATCAAGAATGGACATCATTCGAACATTATATTGTATAGAAATCATCGTGTTTGCTAGTGTCCTCACTTGGATCTTATACATCAAATAAGAGATAATCATGATTTTTGCTTCGAAATTTTTCGATGGGAAGGCTCAGCTTACGTTGCTTTTTATTGTGTCATATCTGAAGATCTTAGCTCAAAGCTTAAAACTTCAGCAAAAAGTTAAATCTTAAGATTCATTTAGTCTTTCATGCATATAGTGGTTTTTTTAAAAACACATGATTTCGTTTCGATTCTTTTTTTCTATTCAGACGATAGACCCTCTATCGTCATATTTATTTCTATTGGTAATTATATCTTTGTCCAATGATAAATTTTATTTTATACTTATATTTTATGTCAATATATATACTTTTGTGTTCATTATTCGTACAATTCATTTATGGCTGAACAAAATCCTTCAGAAATTACTGAAGATGAAGGATCTCGTCATCGTCGTGAACGTCGAGAATTACAATCAACAGTTCAACAATTAAAAAAATCAATAAATAAAAATGATAAAACACGAAAAAAGAAAATCGATAGTGAAATAAAAGCTTTAGAAGATGCATTTGCTAAACGATGGGAACATTTTAATGAAAATAGTGCCGCAACTGAAGTAAATGAAATTGCAATTACTACTCCTACTCAATCAGATGAACATCCTCCTGAAGTTCGTTAATGACAAAAAAAGAATTTTCTTCTTTATGTTTAAAAATATATATTTTTTCATTATAGACTGATGAAAAACAACACCTGTCACGCAAGGCACGTCGATTAGCGAATAAAGAAAAGCGTCATAATGAAGCTAATGAAAATCAAGAAATTATCGACTATGATAATCAACCAGAAGCAATTCGTTGTCGTAATGAATCATCATCAATTGATGAACAACTATTGAAACGTGGTCTTGAACTTCGTTCAATAGCATCCGATGGAAATTGTTTATTTGCATCAATTATTGATCAAACATCAGATTTAACTGTTAGACAACTACGTGAAGTTGTTGCTGATTATTTGCGTAAACATCGAAATGAATATGAACCATTTATTGATACGGATTATGATGTTTATTGTGAGAAATTAGCTAAAGAAAATATTTGGGGTGGACAAGTTGAATTACAAGCTTGTGCAAAAATTTTACAGAGACCTATTGAAATTATTCAAGGAAATGGAAATGAACCAATTAAGATTGATTGTTCATCATCAACGAAAGCACCAATTGTTATAACATACCATCGATATTTGTATGCGAATGGTGAACATTATAATAGTACAATGCATACTGAAGAGAAAACTGATGAATAAATGAAAGAGACCAAATAAATTATTATGTTTTTTGTTTTTATGTTTTAGATGAAGGTTACTATTCATTGGAATAGGATTTTTGGTCTTCTATTAGCAATAATAGTTGTTTTAATTGCAATTATATGTTTTAAATTAATAAATAAATCAAATCAATTTGATCATCAAGATATTGGTCAATGTGATATGCATGAAGCACAAGAAATTATTGATAATCTTGTAAATTTTTTTTTTTTTTAGAAACATACAAACATTAGAGAAAAGAGTCTTAATTAACAGTCGTATTTTAATGAATAATTGATACACTATTAAATATTCAACAGAATGCTATAGTGATAGATAGTATGATTTTAGACTATAATAATTCTAGTGCTTATATTGACAACTAAAAACTATCTCAAAAGTGTACATCACTTCTAATAAAGAACAAAAACAGAATAATTTGTACTAGACTAGCTTATCAAGCGTAACAAAATAGATCTCGTGACTTTTGCGATCTTATATAAGAACTCTTAATCCAATGTTCATAATATTGTTTGAATATTGAATATTTTAGTGTGAATTATACTCTCTTGGTCAAGTAACTGGTTCTCAATGTTCATCATTATGTAATAATAATGCAACAATAAAATTAGCTCAATGTTTATCATTATCTGACTCAAAGATTGTATTACTTATGTCAATGAATACATCATCGTATGTTGTATTAAAATCTAAACGTCGTTATTTTGATCGTCAATATACAGATTTATTATTTCATGATCCAATTGTATCAATTCCATCAGCTCTTAAGACATTTTATGATATAATTAATTCAACATTAGAAGGACATATGGGTAGTTCAATAACTAATTTAACACATGAACATTTAATACGTCGTTTATTTCGTCACGACCGTATTGAAAATTCAGTTATTTTATTAGAAAAATTTGATGATGTTATTGTTAAATATAATGATTATTATGAACATAATCTTGCATTATCATTAACAACAGAACTTAATACATTGTTTTCCTTAATGACACAACATGAATTTTTATTATCAAACTATTATCGTTCAAAACATGAATTAATGCCAAAAATTCTTGGTTGGTGTGGTCATACATATTTAACAGAACATTTAACACCACTTAATCATCCAATGATTGAAGAACAATTATATTCTGATACATGGATACCAAAAGCTTGGTTAACTAATCGTTTACTTCAACTTGTTGATAGTTTTGATAATGAACTTCATGCTCCACTTCATTTATGTGATTTTCGTAAGCCATTTTTTTCTTATTTCTATTGAAAGTATTTATGTAATTTCCACTAAAAATAATATTCAAGCTTTCATACATTTGACTGTAATTTCTCTGAACTGCGAGACTGCTAACAATTTCATATTTGTTTTTAAAATGATATAAATTATATATTTTTATTTAGAATTATCTAATTTGGGTATAAGTGAAAATGGTAATATTAAATTACTTGATTCAGATATGGCTTATTTTGATCGTTTAATTCCATTGTATCCTCCTGATAAATGTCGTAAACATTCCGATTGTTCATATTTTGATTGCTCAGGTTATTGTGATAAACGTACACGTCGATGTCATCTTAAACGTCGTATTAATAATAATTTACAAGTATTATGCGATAAGATTCTTACAAAGTTATTAAAATCTGAAACAATTCCATTACGATTACATGATGTACTTTTATCCTATGTTAAAAAATGTTCATCACCACCTGGTCGTTATAAACGATCAAATGAATTAAAAGTGGGTGCATCATCACGTTTACTTCGTTTAATGCAAGTTATGCTTGATGGTGAATTAAGATCTGCTAATATAACCTCAAGTTTATTTTGATAAAATAAACAATAGAATGTATTCTTTTTTGAAATCGTAGCGCAGTTTATATTAGAAATGTACAAAATTAATAATCAAACATAATTTGTTAATTATTATATGAGAATCTTTTTTTTTTGTTTTCAGTAGTCAATAAAACATTCCATGTTTATTCTTTTTCTTCCTTACTTCTCTGTCAGATAAAAATTGTATATTTCATCTTTTTAGATTAGCAAAATTTTGTATGGCTGATGAGAGTGTAGAACGTTTTGAAATTGAACGTATTGTTGATAAACGATATAGAAATAATCAATTAGAATATCTTATTAAATGGCGAGGTTATCCAGATAGTCAAAATACATGGGAACCTTGTTAGTAATCAAATATTGTATTAAATCAATAAAAAAAAATAAAAATTGAACATTTTTTTTATTATTTAAATAGCAAGTAATATTGAAGGTGAACAAGAAGCAGATCTACTTGCTGAATATGAAGCATTTAATAAACATCAACAACAGAAAATAATGAATTCAGGATCACGTCCGGCAATGAATACTCAATCTCCAAATAAACGTAGAAATGTAATTTTTCAAGATAAATAAGAAAAAAACAACTGAGAGTTTTTTTTATTTAGGATGAAATGATAAATTCTGGTTTAAAGAAACGACCATTAGGAGTAGGTAATAATATGCAATCAGTACATACTCCAACAGGTTTTGAACGAGGATTTGAAGCAGAAAAAGTTTTAGGTGCAACAGATTCAGCAGGTGAACTTATGTTACTTGTTAAATGGCGTCAATCAGATGAAGCTGATCTTGTTCCAGCACGTATTGTGAATATGAGATGTCCATCATTGGTTATAGATTTTTATGAACAGCATTCTTTTTGGAAGCGTTTACCAACGTTAAATCAAAGTACTTGATCTATAACACGATAAATTTAATTCGAACATTTCTTGTTTTGTTTTCAATTTTTGTTTTTGTATATTTATGTTTATGTTTCATTAAAAGAAAAAAAAAGTAAACAATACTTTTCTATATGAAATATTGTCAATTGCAAGAAAGTATACGTAAGGAAATTTTTCCTAAACACTTCGTTTGTACATTATCATCATGAATGGCGAAAGAAAGATAATTTTCAAGTCAACAAGTATTTTTTTTATCGGCAACTTTTGTACTTTTGATGGCAAAGGTTATAATTACCTAAACTATTTTTGATTTTTATATAATCTCGACAAATATTACTTATGATAAGAATAGTTAACATACATATACTTGATTTGTTTCTGATAACGATAAAAAACATGATTTCGCGAAGAGAAAAAAAAATGATGATTATTATTTTTGTATTAAGAAATAGAATTCTTTTTACATTAGTATTCATCAGAAAAAGTCAGATGATGAAAAGTAAATATATTATAACAAATAAAGAATTCATTTATATGAAATTTGACATGCTCTAGTAAAAATATATGAGATTACTCATCTGAAGGTTATATATTCCGCTTTTCTCTTTTCATACAGTTGCCCTTTATATATACACATCTGAATCATTTTTATCGACTTTTTCTTTTAAAAGTACGTGTCCTTGAATATTTGTCCATGCCACTACCAGGGTCATGAAACTCATAAAATTATTTCTTCTACCATCCCTCTCTATTCATCTGAATACAACTCCAGTTGATCATTCTTTTTTTCTTTTTCTTTTCTGATACCATAATCAAGGGTTGGTCTCTCATTCTTTTTCGATTTCATGCGATTCATTTGTTCGAAAAGAATAAAAAAAAAAGAAATACAGAATATTCTTTGAACCTTTAAGTATTTAACAGAAGAGTTTATAACATTCAAACATAAACCATCATTTTCAATAACCAACGGATAATGGCTGCGGGTAATATTACGAATAATTCTTCATCTGAAATCAATGTGGTTATCATTGGAGAAACAGGCACTGGTAGGTATTAAAATAGATATATTAAATATCTTGTATTCATAGTTTAAATAGTTTTATTTGTAAAAAAAAAGTATTGAGAATCTCTTTAAATTAAACTAACAAATAAACATAAATATTCTTAGGTAAATCAACATTTATTAATTATTTAACAAATTTATTTCATAATGGTTCATTAGCAAATCTAAAAGTAGCTATACCAACACGTTATTTAAAAGTTAATATGTCATCTGTAATGCCTCAACATCATGAAAATTGTATCGATGATATTACACGTAGTAAAACAAGTAAATGTACTAGATATACATATATTGTTGAACAAGTTCATTTTAATTTTTTTGATACACCTGGTATAAATGATACAGGTGGTTATTTATCTGATAATGAAAATGTTGATCGAATATTTGAATGTATTCAAACATTACAACATCTAACAGCTCTTGTACTTGTTTTAAATGGTACACAAGCACGTTTAACAGTTAATATACGAAATGTTCTTGAACGTTTTCGTGATCGAATACCTGATATAATCTATTCGAATGTAATTGTTATATTAACAAATTGTGCATTACATACAGTTAATTTTGGTTCAGTTAAATTATTAAGTCATGCACCTATATTTCATATGCAAAATTCAGCTTTTTCATCTGATGCTCAAACATGGTCAGCACATACACGTGACATATTACAACGTGATTGGAATATATCAATGCAAACAATGAATGATTTTGTTAAAAATTTACTTACATTAACACCTGTTTCAACAGAATGCTTATCAGAAATGAATGATGATCGAGATGCTATACGAAGTATTTTACATGAAAGTCGACTTATGATTATGGAATTACAACATATTGAAGATGAATTAGTTGCACTTGAACAAGCATCAAATATTTATTCAGCTAATATTGAAAAATATGCATCACCGAATGGTCCCTCGACAAAATCGATTCAGGTTAATGAAATAACCGTAACATCCTATCATAATACAATATGTTCAAAATGTAATACAGTTTGTCATGAACGATGTTCATTAACAGAAACAACACGAGTTGGTGAACGTGTTTTTCGACGTTGTACAGTTATTGTTAATGGTCGATGTACGGCATGTCCTGGTAAATGTTCTTATGATACACATTATCATGATCGACGCCTTATTAAAACTGTTCCTAGAACATTAAAAGTAGCTATATCATCGGTAGCTAATAAATATAGTGAAGCAAGAAAAGATAAAGCAGCTTGTGAAACAAAATGTGAAACAGTTCAAGAAACGAAACGTTTTATTGAACAATCATTACAAGAACAATATCTAAGAGTACGTGATGCATGTTTACGTGTAAAAAGTAATTGTCAAGGTTTTAATGTTGCTGAAGAATTATGCATGTTTGTTAGTTATCTTAAAAATGATATGAGTTCATTACGATCATCGACAGTAACGAAAAAAGCAACAAAATTTGTTGAAAAACTTGAAAAACTTGCCGATGATTTACAACATGATGATTCTATGATATCAATTATTGAACAACCATCATCTACAACAACTTCTTCTTCAACAAGATCACCACCACTTCCTGCCGTACGAAAAACAGTTAACAATGGTAATAATAATAATCATAAGCAATCTACAAAATCATCTCAATTGCAAACAATGTCAGCAGTCGTAAGTAGAATTATTTAAAAAAATTAATTCGTCTTAGATTTTCTTTGTATTTATGATATATAAAATAATAGACTGATGATTTAATTTCAATTGATCCATCACCTGCTTCATCATTAGCTGCACAAGTTGATCGTCTTTTTAGTGGTTCATATAATTCATTAAATGCAATTAATGATATTTCATTAACTGACGATGATGAACAACGAAATAAAAAACTACCAGGCATTGGTACACGTGATTTAATTCATCGTATTCAAACTTCTCAGCAACAACAACAGACATCAGACTTAAGCAATACACGTAAATATTCTGAATATACAACTGAACGTCTTTTAGCTTTAAGTCGTGAATCAACTGAAGAATGTAAATTAATTGCAAAAGAATTAAATCGTCGTTGTGGTGGAACATCAATTGGATATTTATCATCAACACAATTATTAATATTATGTGAATATTATGCATCATCTCGTCTATTACAATTAGATGAACTCGTTCGTCAACATTCACAACTTCAATCTGATGTCCAACAATTAACTGATCATGATCCATTTGAAATACTTTCTGTACCGATAGATAAATTATTACATTTAGCTGCTGTAACACTTTGTTTACAGAATGCTACTAAATATTCATAAGAATTTTTCATATCGTTTCTTTTGTTTTTTTTCTTCTTCTCTATTCGTATATTTTAGATTATTTTTGGTTTTGTTTTCTTATACAAACGTAATGGCAAGTAATAATCCTATAATGGCAGCAGCACATCAAATAAAAGAAACAATATCAGATGCAGTAAGTCGTCTTAATGTTGGTGGAAATCATCAGAATACAACAACAGCAGCAAATAATGAAAATTCTAATACACGTCATCTTTCATTGGATACATCGAATATGGCAAAAGTTTTAGTTATTGGTGAAACGGGTAGTGGTAAATCAACATTTATTAATTATTTAACAAATTATTTTCATGGTGGAACATTACAAAATGTCAGAGTTGCTATACCATCAAAATTTCGTTCAGTTATTACAGAACAATTTTCACATTGTGAAAATAATGTACGTGATACAACACAATCTAAAACAGATATGTGTAATCAATATATTTATGTTGATACTGCAAGTCCTGCTCAAAGACAATATCTTTTTCTTGATACACCTGGCTTATCAGATACACGTGGAGCTGAACAAGATAATATAAATATGACTAAAATTATTGATGGAGTAAGTTTTATTCATAAAAATAAAATAACTATAATATAATTTATAATCATAGGTTGAATCATTGGGTGGTTTATCAGCTGTAATTATTGTTGTCAATGGTACAACAGGACGACTTACATTAAATCTTCGTAATGTTATTGCACGTCTTCGTGGTAATCTACCTGATGTTGTTATGGATAATGTTATTGTTGTTTTAACGAATGCTAAACGACATGAAGCAAATTTTAATATATCATCTCTTCAACTTCATGGTACAGTTTATCCATATTATATGCAAAATTCTGCTTTTTCACAAGATTCTAATACCTGGGATCAAGCAGCACTTGATGCATTACAATTTGACTGGGATGCATCTATGGATGAATTAAAACGAATGATTGAAACAATTGATACATTTAAAATTAAATCTGTTACGGCATTTAAAGATATGAAAGATATACGTAATGCAATAAAAGCATTAATGCATGAAGCACGATTAGAAGTTTCACAAATACAAAAAATGCAAGATGAATTAGCTGCATTTGAACATGCACTTAAACAATATAAAACAGATGAAGTTACATATAAAGATTATACACGTGAACGAGTTGTTGAAACAAAAGAATTAGTTGATACAAAATATCATTCTAGTAAGTATCAACAAATTCTTTTGACTATTTATTTTTATAAGAAAATAAAAATAATTTTTCTATTCAAAAAATAGCTGTATGTCGTAAATGTGATCATGTTTGTCATGATAAATGTGGTCTTCATGAAACAACAACACATGGAAATCGTATATTTCAACGATGTTGGGCTATGTCAGCTGAAGGTCAATGTTATATATGTCCTTCACATTGTCTTTATACAGAACATTATCATGCTCGTAAGACAATGAAAGTTAAACAACAAAAATTACAAGATGTACTTCATGATATTAAATCAAAATATGATATGGCAACAAAAAGTACAAGTGATTTTCAATCACGTATAACAACAACACAAGATGCAAAACAAATGTTAGAACGTGCATTAAAACAAAAATTAGAAGAAATCAAACATAAATGTGCTGAACTAAGACGAATATGTAGTGGTTTTAATTTAGCACAAGAATTACATGCACTTATTGATCAATTGAAAGCTGAAGCAACTATGTTAAGAAATATTGAAGCTAAACAACAAGCAGAAGATTTTATTCGTAGTTTAAGTGACTTTTGTCGACAATTAGAAGCTGATCAAGTTGCTAAACAAGTTTTACCACCAATGCGTCTTGTTGATACATATGCATCAAAACCATTTCGTTCATCAATAATAACACCATCAGGTTCAAATACACCTATACCTTCAACACCAATATCATCATCATCATCAGAAAATACACCAAATTTAAATACAAGTGTACTTGATTTAATAACTAAATTGAATAAACCAAAAAAAACATTGCCAACAGTATCTGCTGATGATGAAGAAGATGATGAAGAAAATAGTGGAAGTGATGAAGATAATGAAAATTCACGTGAAATGCCACCAACATCATTACGTTCAAATCGTAGTAGTCATCAAAATAATAATCATGATAATAATCATGATGATGAAAATAGTTCAATTCATAATCGACGAAAACGACGTCAATCAGCAGGAAATAATAATAATAATAATAATACGAATTCTTTACAACAACAATATGCTTCATTGACAACAACAGATCTTGTTCAACGATATACAGATTGTAAAGATACACGAAAATCTAGTGCAATTTTAACTGAAATTAATCGTCGTTCACAAGGAAAATCAACAGGTCCACTTGTTTCACCTACTGATATTGGAACATTTGCACGTTATACACAATTATATGGTTCACAAGATGCACCAACATTAAGCCATTTATATTTACAACTTCAACAGAGAATTTCAAATATGACTGAACCTGATATACTTAATATTGCTCGTGTGCCTAGTGACCTCTTACTTGAAATTGCTGCTCTCTATACACTTATTGCACAAAAAAATCAACAGCAACAACAACAACAAGGACAAAATTTTGAAGGAAACTTTGCTAATGAATCTGCATTTGAACGACCACCTGATCATATTGCATCTGCAATGATGATGAAAATGTCAACACCAGTTTCTCAAACACCTATGAATTATTATCCATCATCACCATCTAATCATCATCCAGGTGGAGCAACAAATACTTTATTTAAACCTATTCAAACAACAAATATGAATAATATGAATGGTCAACCAACTCCTTTACAAACATCAACCTTTTCACCACCAATGCCACCTCCTCCTCCACCTCCACCACTTTCTACACAACCACAACAACCTCCACTTTCTTTTACAAGTTTTGCAGGTATGTATATAATATTATTCTTTAACTAAATAATCAATATGATATCTAATTACAGGTTTTCCTACGGATAGTGTCAATGCAAATAGCAACTCTACGTATCTTCAATCACCAACACTACCACCACCACCTCCTCCACCTCCATCTTCTTTTCAATCATCATCATCATCATCAACTACAACAATACCAATTACAACAACAATTCTTTCTGATCGATCAGCAACTGGTTCACCATTTACATTTATATCTCCACCATCATCAAATACAACTGAATCAACTTATGCAATGGTGACACCATCAATAACAAATAAAGATGATTATACTATGATAAACATAGCACCATTGAATAATTCAATAACTGACGATGATACAATGAATTCGAATACATTAATCAATGCAAGTATAACACGTTTATTAACATTATATAGTGATGCGAAATCATCAAATAAAAATGCACAATTATTTTCTATTTATCATGAATTAGAAAGTCGTTGTACAGGTGCTAATTGTACTCAATTAACAAAAGATTATCCAGCTGTATATGAAACAAAATTAAATGAACATGCACATAAAACATTATTAGAATTAAAACAAATTTATTCGAATATTCAACAACAAATACGTATACGAACAAATAATGATGCAACACATATTAATGATGTACCAAAAGAATTAATTCTTGAATCTGCTGCTCTTCTAGCAACTATTAAACAAAAAGACATATAGTTTATCTTTAGCTGACTATATATATAAATACATTAATTAGTTATTTTCTTTTTGTTTTATCATATAACTTTATAACGTGTGAATTTTTCTCTTTTTTTTCTCACATAATCGTTCAATAAAAAATATTAATATTTAAGCAATTAAATATACTTACATCATTCTTGTAATTTTATTCATTATTATTATATATTCAATTGAAAATAAAATTTTGGTATTGAAGAAAAAATCGTTGAATAATAATAAAGAAGATCATGAAGTAAAATCTTGAGGGTGTGAGTGGGTGTCTCTATTTTTAACTGACACCCATACCCTGAAGATGTTATCGAAATCTGAGCAATCTTGGTGAACTCAGAATAAAATCGGTCACTGTCCGCTAATATCTTCCGAAATCCGATAAAGTTCGGATTGGATGAGTATAGATCATATTAGAATCAAAATGAAATAATACAACAGAGATTAATGTTAAAAAGCTATATATTTAAGCATTATGTAGTCATTATCACCAGAAATTATATATTCATAATAGAACAAAGAGAAAACAAAGAAAAAAAAGAGACTTAATCTGTAAACATATTGTTAATGAAAAAGATTTCTTGTTAATCGTGTTCTTTGCAATTCCTGAGTACGTCGACCTCGTCTTGCTACCGGTGTTTCACTAAATTTTGGTAATAGCTGTTGCTGTTGTTGATGATATGATGCAGGATTTAATGAATTATGCAATACATCATTGGCACCTATTTTATCGAAAAATATATATATATATACAAGATAAATATTTGTCCAAATGCAATAGATTATCTTAATTTACCTTGCAATGATGATGTGTTGCTACCTGATACAATTGGTGGTAAAACTACACGGTGTTCTGATAAACGACGATGACCGGTTGATCTAAACATATTAATTGTAGTTTATTTGAAAATAAATGATTAATAAAAATATAATAATCAAAGCAAGAAAGTATACAATATATATACATATATAAAGCAACCAGATAAATTACAATAATAATGGTTTTATATGATACCTCGGTGTGATGAGCTGAGGTGGTGAAAGATTCACACGTCGAAGTGGTAATTCACTGTTTATGTATAATAAGTTGTGTTATATTATCTCAATAAATTAAAAAGACAATAGATAAAAACAATACATACTGTCGATATGCTGACGGCTTCTCAATTGTTGTTGATGGAGCAACAGACGACTGTAGCTGTTGTTGATTTACAATCGTAGATACATCTGTGGATCCTGTTGTCGAAACTTCACTGGTAGTTGTTGATGCTAAACAATCACGAACAAGTATTTTCGATGTTGAACTTAATCGTTCAGCATGAAGTATTTCACGTAATACAGCTCGTAATCTTGCTATCTAAATATATATATATTGAAATTAGTATAAACACTCTTGATCGATATTTGTATTAGTAAAAAAATTTATTTTAAATCAAAAATAATGAATAAATTACTTCATGTATTTGTTGTTTTTGTTTGTCATATGAAATTCTAAGTAAATGTTGATACTCCATTTCATTCAATTGTGATTCTTCTGATTTTACCATTTTATTATCAATAAAATGTGTTGTACTTGTATCCGGTGATGTACTTAAACGAAAAAGAGAAAGATTATTCTTATAAAATTATTATTTATATGTAATTACTTTGGATCTGGTAATAGAACTGGTACACCAAATGGAGTTCTCGGTGGTGTCTGATTTGATGTTACTCTATTTAATTCATCAACTTGGCGTGTTAAATATTCATTTCTTTGTTCACTTTCAATTAATCGTAATCGAAGTTCATCAATTTGTTGTTCAAAATGAACACGTTGCACTTCTTGTAAACGTTTTGCTATTGAAAATAAATACATTATATTAAATCAATTAAAATACAACAAAAAAAATTCAATGTATCATACCAAGAACTGGTTCATTTTGTGTAATATCAGCTAATTGATTAATATTTGGTGATACTTCACTTTTTCTTTGTTTACTTGCTGATCCAGATGGTAAACGTATATTAACCATACGAAAATGAAGATCTAAAATAGTTTTAAAATGATTATTATATGATAAATTTTCATATAAATTTACCTCGATTTTCATTTTGAAGTTTATTAATTTCACTATGTAAATCAGCAAGAGTTATTTCATGTTGTTGTTGAACATAACGAAGATTTCGTTCAAGTAAATCAATACGTGAACGTGGGTCAACTGTTGGTGTTGGTGAAGATACTGTTGATGATGTACTTAATACTGGTTCAGTACCTTTTGGTATTAACGATGTATTTTTTTTAATAACAATACGAGATGTTGTAACAGGCGCTGGCAATCGACGTGATGTTCCTTTAGACATCTCACCATCACTGTCGCCCGACGACTGAAGAGCATGATGATGGAGATCTGATATGCGCTCTTCGACAAATGATTGTCGAATCATTTAACAATATGTTATTAAAATGTCAAAAAAATGAAGTTAACTCTAAAGTAAACAAACAATATGAAAAGTAAATTAAATGACAGAACAACCATAAACTACTATATATGTCATGGAAATCGTAGAGAATGTATGAACTTAAAGATGTCGCTAAATCTTCAAATATATATGTGAAGTGTAATGTATTCTATATTACTTCAAAAAGAGATGCTTCTCACTATAAATTATTTTAGCAAATGCTGTAAATCACAACTAATAAAAGACAAAATAGTTTTTATATAAAAGAAAGACATAAAAAGGTTGAAAATTACTTGTAATGAAGCAAATATATAAATGTAATGCACATATTGAAAGGCTTCATTAAATGAATCACACTTCTATAGAAAAAGATTCTCTTCAACAGGACTACTAATGATTTTTACATAAGCAACTTGCAAAACAACATGATCTTGTTAGAGACATAAATTTCTACTAGTCTAATATATAGCGAATATGCTTTTGTATTTTTCGTTTGGTTTATCTGTTAATATATCTAAATAAGTCGTTTCTATGATAATGTCTTCAATATTCTTTTCAAAGTCATAATTAAATATCTCAATCCATACTTGTCTAACAAAACCGAGAATATCATCGTTCGTAATATACATAGATAAATTTTGAATAAAACCGTTTCACATAAAATAAAATAGACTTTTTAATAACTCATAGTAGACACTAGTATCTGATAAATCCTATCCGTTATCATTGTCAATGTCGATATATATATTATTATCTTGCAGCATTGATAACTAGCGACAACTATTTTAAAGTCGATTTCCAATTTAATTCTTCTGATTGGTGCTATATGTGATAAAAGAAAGAAAGAAACAAGAACTGGAAAAACTGAAATTACGTCCATCTATAATATTATATTTGAATTTAGATTGTTCCAGTAAGGATGTTGAAATCAGAAGTAATTCGTGTTTCTGGTCCATCAACATCATCTCGTCGTCGTTCATCATCAGATTCGCCTCGTTATGATAAATCTTCAAAACGAGATCGTCGAACTCCCACTCCATCATCAGAATCAGAAAGCGATGATGAACATGAAGACCGAAGAGAAAAAGGTGATGCAGAAGAAGGTGAAGTACGATCAAAACAAATTCCTAAATCAAATCCAACATCTACTGCACCACCACGTACTGGCGGTTTATATATGCCACCAGCTAAACTTCGTCTCTTACAAGTATAGTCATTTAAAACTTTAATTTTTTTTAAATTTATTTTCTCATTAGGCATCCTTAACTAATAAACAAACACCTGAATATCAACGTATAGCATGGGAAGCTCTAAAGAAAACTATAAATGGTCGTGTTAACAAAGTTAATATATCGAATTTACCATTAATTATTCGTGAATTATTCAAAGATAATATTGTTCGTGGTCGTGGTTTACTATCCCGTGGTATTATTCAAGCACAAACTGCCTCACCATTTTATACACATGTCTATGCTGCATTGGTATCTGTTATCAATACAAAATTTCCACAAATTGGTGAATTAATTGTTAAACGTCTTATATCATCATTTCGTCGAACATATCAACGAAATGATAAAAGTAATTGTTTAGCAACAACAAGATTTATTGCACATTTGGTCAATCAAAATGTTGTATGTATTCTTTAAAAAAAATAATTTAAGAATTCACTTCATTCTTTTTTTTGTTTTGTAGTTACATGAAATAGTTTCTTTACAAATGCTTGTACTTTTACTTGAAAATCCATCGGATGATAGTGTTGAATTAGCTATTGGCTTTATAAAAGAATGTGGACAAAAATTATCTCAAGTTAGTCCACGAGGATTAGATTCAGTATTTTCAACATTAAGAAATTTACTTCATGAATCATCATTAGATAAACGTACACAATATATGATTGAAGTTTTATTTGCTGTACGAAAAGATCAATTTAAAGCGAATCCAGCTGTTCAACCTGGTTTAGATTTAGTTGATGAAAATGATCAATATACACATATGCTTACATTAGATGATCCCTGTGAACCCGAACCAATGCTTGGTATAATTACTATTGAATTCGATTCATTTTTATTCTATTGATTTATTTAGATGTATTTAAATATGATGAACAATACGAAGAAAATGAAGAAAAATATAAAGAAATTCGAAAGACTATTCTTGATGAAAGCAGTGATGATGAATCAAGTTCTGGTTCATCAGATAGTGATGATGATGAAGATGACAAAAAAGATGATGCTGATGAAGAAGAACAAGCAGTTGATCCAGCTGAAAGTAAGTTAAATATTATCCTTGAGTAGAAGACATTCTTATGAAGTAAAACTTAAATTTTCATATCTTTCTTTTATTCTAGAAGAAAAACAACAAACAATTATCGATCAAACTGAAACAAATTTAGTTACACTTCGTCGTACAATCTATTTAACAATTCAATCAAGTATTGGTGCTGAAGAATGTGCACATAAATTACTTAAAATGAATTTACGTCCTGGTCAAGAAGTATGCTTTTCTTTTACAAATTTAGTTTTTATAATATTTTATTTTGTATTTAGATGGAATTGTGTCAAATGATTCTTGATAGTTGTGCCCAACAACGTACATATGAACGTTTTTTTGGTTTACTTGCTCAACGATTTTGTTTATTAAAAAAAGAATATGTTGAATGTTTTGAAAAAGTATTTCAAGATCAATATGAAATTGTTCATCGTCTTGAAAATGTTAAATTAAGAAATGTCGCAAAATTTTTTGCACATTTACTTGTAACTGATGCTATTTCATGGGGTGTATGTAATACTTATTTTTTGGAGTAATAACTATCTCATTTTGTTTTTCTAGGTTCTTCGTTGTATAAGTTTAACAGAAGAAGATACAACATCGTCATCACGTGTTTATATAAAAAATTTATTTTTAGAATTATGTGAATTTCTTGGTTTAACTAAACTTAATAATCGATTAACTGATCCGTAAGATATTCTAAAACAAAATTCCCTATATTAAATTTTATTTTATTTTATTTTAGAACATTAACAGAATATTTTGAAGGACTTTTTCCACGTGATAATCCAAAAAATACTCGATTTTCAATCAATTTTTTTACATCAATTGGTCTTGGTGGACTAACGTAAGCTGTTCGATTTGATATAAATTTCATATTCTATTTTTTTTCATATAGAGATGAATTACGAGAATTTTTACGAGTAAATCCAATACCGGCTCCAGTTGCACCACCACCAGCAGCAATATCTATTAAAAAAGAACAAAATGAAGATGCAGATGATTATAAAGACAAAGATCGTATACAAACACGTCTTCGTGAACTTCAAATGGAACAACAACAAACAAAGAAACAGAAGGATACTAAAAACAAGAAAAAAACTAGAAATCGTACGTATTAAATTTTTACACTTAGTAGATCTTTATTTTGAGAAATTTTCTCAGTCCAATCTTTCAGTGATATTTAATATTTTCCTAATTGATTTTTCGTAATGAAAGTTATTGAATATATTTAAAGGTTCATCTTCATCATCATCGTCAACTTCATCAGGCTCATCAGCTTCGTCGTCATCATCGTCGACATCATCTTCAGGTTCTGCATCACCTGCACCACCGCCACCTCCACCACCAGCGTCATCTCGTACACGCCGTGATGAACGTGATCGACATAATGAAAACAGTAAAAATGATCGTCGACAACAAGATCAACGACCTGCTTATGATGATCGTCGTAATGGAAATCGAAAAGATGAACGTCGTGAACGTGATCGTCGATCACCAAGTCCTTATCGTCGAAGTGAACCTAAAAAAGATGAACGTCGTCAACGAGAAAAACGATCCCCATCTCCTGATCGACGTCCTCATTCGAATAAATCATCAAAACGTTAAATAAATATTTTGTTTTGTCTTCTTGACATTTATTTGTGTATTGTTATTAAATGTTTTTGTCGTGCAGTGTCTATTTCAAAAAAAAAAAAGAAAACTTAACTAATGAAGAAAATATAAACGTTCTTTATGATCAACATAGATGATCATCTGTGGAAAATTATACTTTTCTAAATTATAGATCACTTTAAAATATAAATAATCACGTGCCGTCATGCACTGATGCGCAAACATGTGATCTAAATAAATTATGCGATATATATATTTATAATGAAAATAGTTAGTGAACATACTGTAAATATGAAAGACTGAGATAGGAGTAATGACATAGTCTATCAACAGTTTTCAGTTATGTAGAAAATCGTTCGAAATTTGACGAGATCAATAAATATGTGACTTATATTTTTCTTATTTTAGATTACAAATATGTATAAATTATATATTTCAATCACGATATGTAAATTTTCTTTATAATTTCATCAAAATTCTATAATTTATCTTGTATAACTAGTATTATTAGTGATTGTTTCAATTCATGCGAAGTCTGTTTTACGAAATGGTCTTCCATCAAGATATCATGTTAGTGGTGTTATTCAATTGCCTTATGCAGAAATAAGTGAACCATTTGAATCATGGATTGATGTTCAAGCTGGATTTTCACGTATTGATTATTATGGCGGTTAGTTAGTTATATATTTTATTCAATAATAATAATAATAGAAAATCAATTATAGGTGCAGCAAAAACTATTCAACGAAAAGGACAAAATAATCAAGATTTCGGTGCTAATTATAAAATTGTACCAATATCTGGTAAATAAAAAGATGAATCAATAAATCTTATATTCCAATTATTTGTATTAATAGATGAAGTCACATTAAATAAAATCACATGTTTTCAATCTAATGGTTCAAAAGAACAATTAATGGATGTTCAACATACTATACCAGATATAAATTCATTTGAAGTATTTCATTAATATTTATATTTTATTTGAATTTATTCCATTTCTTTTTCAATAGGATTTGGGTCAAGCTGAATGGCGTGGAATAAAATGTCAAATGTATCAAAGTATTGATCAAGAAGGTGATAAAAAATCTACCTATACTTATTATATTAATGCTGAAACAAAACATCCAGTACATTATGAAATGTTTGGCTATGATACATTAATTGGTTCTCATTTTGATAAATATACAATTGATTATTACAATTATGATGAAAATCCAATTGACTCAAGTTTATATCATATTACTGATGGTAAACAATAACTTTTTATTTTTTTAATAATATAAGCAATGAAATGTTTTTATTTTCAATAGAAATGACATGTATAGAATTTCCAGATTCAGATAGTGAACATACATCACCACGTGTTTTATTCAATCCTATGAGTGAATATATGAATCGTCACGGTGAAGATTATCTTCAAACATCATTTGATGAATTTAAAAATAAACATGGCTATAAATATAAAGATGAACATGAACATCGTCATCGATTGAAAACATTTCGACATAATAATCGTTATGTAAATACACATAATCGTGCAGGACTTTCATATAAAATGAAATTAAATAAATTTGCTGATCGAACTGTAAATATATATATTTTCATGAGAAAGAATATTTCTTATTGTTTTTTTTCTTTGTATTTAAGGATGATGAATTACGAGTACTTCGTGGTCGTCGTCATTCAAAAGGTTATAATGGTGGTCTTCCTTTTCCAATTGAAGAATTAACACAAACTAATCAAGCTATTCCAGATTCAATTGATTGGAGACTTATGGGGGCTGTAACACCAGTTAAAGATCAAGGTATTTGTGGTTCATGTTGGACTTTTGGTACAACAGGTGTTATTGAAGGTGCTTATTTTGTTAAGGTAAAAGAAGAAATATTTATATAAGTTTTCATATAATTTTTTAATTTAAAATAGCATGGATCATCAATTCGTTTATCTGAACAAGGTTTGAATATTTATACAAAATAGAAATGAATTAAATCGAAAAATATTTTTTGTTTGTGTAAATAGACTTAGTTGATTGTTCATGGGGTTTTGGAAATAATGGTTGTGATGGTGGTGAAGATTATCGTGCATATCAATATATTATGAAACATGATGGAATTGCTTTTGAAGATAGTTATGGTCCATATTTACAAGAAGATAGTTTTTGTCATCATGATACAGCAATTAAAGGTGCTAAAATTCTTGGATATGTTAATGTTACTGAAACTGATGAAGAAGCTTTAAAAATTGCAATTGCAAAGAAAGGTCCAGTTTCTGTTGGTAAGAATTAAATCATTCATATTTATTTATATATACAATTTTGTAATATTAGGTATTGATGCTGCTCACAAAAGTTTTGTATTTTACGCAAGTGGAGGTAAGAATTAATTATATTGAACTATTTGATATTTATGTTATTTCTTTTAGTGTATTATGAACCTGATTGTGGTATATATATTCTTTATTATAATTTCATCAGATATTTAATTCATTGATTTTTTTAGGTAGTAAACTTGAAAATTTAGATCATGCTGTATTAGCTGTTGGATATGGTACATTAAATGGTAAAGATTACTGGCTTGTAAAAAATTCTTGGTCAACATATTGGGGCAATGATGGCTATGTACTTATGTCTCGAAAGAATAACAATTGCGGTGTAGCTACAGCAGCAACATATGTTATTGTTGCATAAACTATTATTATCTCAAAAACTGTCTCTGTCTTATAAAAAGATCTGCTTTTTTTTATACTTTATTCCAGCTTATTAAATAAAAACAAAAAAAAATAAATAAAAATGTTTTTGTTTAACAGATAACATGTGGTCGTCTCCACTTATGACCAGTAACTTGATAAATGCCACGGCAATATAAATAAAGTTGATGAAATGGATTTATTAAATATCGACGTCGACTTGCCCATTCACTAAAACCACTACGAGACATAATTAATGTATCACATTCTCCAAGTACATAAAAATCTGAAATAACTTTAAGAAAACCTTGACATTGTTCTGTTGATGAATATGATGTTGATAAACGATCAATATGAATAATTGGTCCAGGAATAGATATCGATTGACTTTTATTATATTTATTCAGAATATATTGATTGATTTTCATTGAATCACTTGTTATGAATATAATTGATTGTTTATTTAGTGTTAAATTTTTATCAACAAATTCAACAATATCTTCAACTATTGTATCACGATAAGAAAGTATTTTATCATGAATCATAGTTGGATTTTTTCCGACACGTATATGTAAACAAATCAATTGTTTTCTTATATTATTATCATTATTTAATTTTGTTAATACTTGATCAACAGAATTTTTTACTTGATCTGTTGGTTGAAAAAGAAGTTCATATAGAAGTGGAAATAAACGAGCTTGAGACATATCACTCGATGATAAATTTAATAATTGAACTATATTTTGTATATGTTTATTAGCTAATGCAGGTGTTATATAATCACTATTTGTTGTCAAATAAATATCATCATATATTGACCAATCTTTAATAAAATTTGTTAAAGAAATTTTCTCATAAATATTTCGTGCTAACTGAGGACTACGTGTAGTTTCAATACGCAATTGATTACGATTAGCTCTAACAAAAAAAGAAAAGTCATTAATTTCATATTGTATTTTAAATATGATTTATACTCGAATTCAATCGGATGCCAATTATATAGATTTGGTTTTAATAGTTTTGTTAATTCACATGGATATGGCATATCAATATAAAATCGTCTTTTACTAAGTACAGCCAAGATAAATGCTGATGTTATACCACGAAGTCGATCACCCCCTTAAAATACTATAGAATATTATCTATCTCGATTATAAATTGAATTTTGTTGATTTTCGTATACTTACATCCACCACACCATTTACGACATCGATAAGTTAATGATGGTGACCTATCTGAAGATGGTCCATCAAGTAACATTGATATATTAACATGTTGAAACTGTTGATTAAGTAAATGAAGACGTTCATTGATTTTGTTTGATAAATTATTAATTGATGATACAGTTGTTTTTTTACTTATTGAACAAAGACGATAAATTAAAACAATAAATCCTATGATAAAACATAATGTCAGAAGAAAACGGTAGGAACGTAGGCATCGCATTGTATGCATCTATATTAATATTCCATCTGGAAATATATGATTTATTTATCTATTGTCATAGAAAGGTTATTCGCTAATTTTGACGATTATCCAGATGGCAATTTCGTAATAATAGAAGAAGAAAAAAAAAGAATAATAATGTCATAATAGTCTTACGAAGGTAATCATTTTTTTATTTGACTACTTATAATTTATTTATTTTATGAATAATACTTTGCTGAATCAAGAATTACATCTTTTTACATTTTTTATATAAATTCTATGCAATTCGTTAACGTCTACATCGAAATATGATATAATAAATGAAACATAAAAAAAAAGGGGTCAGAATAAATCTTATTTCAATCAGACAAACATGATTATAAACAGTCATATTTTGAAAGATCGATTAATGAATGTGTCTCAATATTATAATCCTACATATGTATGATATATGCAGATGAATATGATTACTAACCATATTAAAAAATATTTACTCATTCTTTCAACATAAACATAAATATTCATAGTTTTTGCTTCTATATCATGTTTTGTTTTTTACTGACATAAAGACATATAATTCTAATAATAAACTGTGTAAGCTTGTATTCCTGATTTTTAAATTTGCATCATTTCTATAATAATAAAATAAACTTCAATGCACTAATTCAAAATAGAAGCAGTAATAACAAGCATTCATTTAAGAAGGTCGTCTGGATTCTTAAAAACATGGTATTGTTAGTAGAGTGACAAAATCATAAGATATTATTGTGCAACAGAGGTATGTATGATTGATTATTTTTTTTTTGTAGAAAAAATATTAAAAATTAGCTTTAGACAATTGTTTCTTAATAGAAAATCTTTGAAAAGTTGTTTAATTGATTCTAATGCGTTTACTCATCAACTGTTAAGTACTTATTGATATTAGATACCGAGACATAGTATCCAACTCAATATTTGTTCTAAAACCAAACAAATTACTCATCGACGCGAAAAATCCGAAGAATTACATTCACTGCTTAAAACTGATTTGCTGTTTATTCGCAGTTAGACGGTTATTAACTGACACGGTTACCAACTCAGATGGGTGTGGGTATCAGAGTAAGGTTGATGTAATACCCACACCCACACCCTCAAGATTATTTTTAATAAGTTAATTTGACGGTTTTTGGACTATATTGCATAATAATTTGTATGGTAAACTTTTAGTATATTTTCAGTTTCATCAATATTGAGGATTGATAAAATGACTACCTGTTATTACAGAGACATTTTTTAGATGATTTGTATTTAGATTCCATAGTTAATTCATAATAATTTAAAAAAAACATTTTCAATTCAATAGTCATGGTTCCAACATAACCTAAAAGAATATCATGACCTCAAAGAATTCTATGAAACGGAATTTTTTAACACACACACACACATGCATATTAAACAGATAGAGTATAGCGTGTATTTAAATTATAATCCCTTCACGTAGACATTTATTGACACTACACATCGTTCATATAAAATTTATGATAAGTGTTGGCCTGGATTCTTTCTCGAAACTAGTGTGAGTTATAATAGAAAAAAAAGGCAATATTTATATACATATATGACAGAGGAAAAGGATTTCCTATGAATGATTTTGTCAGAATTAATTAAGTTGATTTTTAATAATTAAATCAGAGTGCTATTTTAAAAGCTTGTTTTATAATGATTGTATTTGAAATATGAAAAAAATAGAATAACATCAAGGGATAATTACGCATACATTTCAAATACAAAAATACATGTCTTCATATATTGTAACATAGATTAATTTTTTTCAAACTAACATGAAATAATTTGTATCTATTAATATTTAAAGTTCCTTTGAGAAACGTTCCAACACGTTATCTAATCATAAAATAGACTAGGATAAAAGCAATATGTGTGTGCCAGTAGACAACGAAATGAAAAAAGTCTTTAGAACAATCTTCTTTCAATAGTCATTTATTATCTAAGCGATAAATAATATGAATTGATTAATTATTTAATGAATATTAAAAATTTCCAAAGAATAAAATTTTTTTGATTAAATTTCTATTTATTGTCAACAGATTAAGTCATACATGTTAAGAAAAAAGCGAAAGATTATCAGACCGTGTATAATCATGTGTTAATAGATTTATGTTTATCATAAATATAGTTCCTCCTCTTCTTACTCATTTGTTCTATTTATAATTCAAAGCAACAACATTTCAAGATTTTGTTTTCTCAATGAAGGAAAAATTTCTTATTTCCTCTTATAGATATTTTCTAGTTGTCTTAAACAGTATGTGGAACATATCCTTTGTGCATGTCTATAACTGACGTTTATATTAAAAAAAGACTGATTTAATTAATCTAATCCATATTAATACATTTATTTTCTTATTTAAATATGCATGTCACAGTTTATATGAAAATATACTAAGAAACCTCAAAAGATATTTCAGTACAATGGTAATTTGATATAATCATTTAATATTCCTATTATATTGATCCTTATCTAAAGGATGACTGTCAATCTGATAATTATACTTTTTTTGAAATTTATATAATTATTTCCTTTATTTTTCATAAAAGTCTAATATAAACAGGATTACTATTTAATTGATACCACGCATATAATAGACTGTAAAAAATAAAAACTACATTATCAGAAGTTATTTTCTTTCTTTTTTGTCAACAAGATCATTTTGATAAGAAAATTGTAATGACAAAATATTCCATAATTACTTTGTGTTAAATATAATCTTGTAGGCGTACATTCCTTTTTTTTATTTGCTTATCACTTAGAACACAAAAAATTGTATTTTAAGAACATTATAAAATTACTTTTGAACTATATTTTTATTGTTATATCAATTTCATATATAGAATTATCTAGTTCTTTTTTTATTGATACAGTATATATATAACCGAGTTTAATGGAATAAATGTTTTCCTTTAATTATACACAGTTAAACATGATCAGTCTTATCGAAGTATATTTAGTTACATATATTTTTGTTTATACTTTCTGATCCACTTTTCTATAATTACGTTTAGTTATCTATTACATTAGTTCTTTTCAGTTAAGTGATCTCCTTACATCCGCATATTCCAGTAGTAGTACTAGCATTCATATGAGACATCCGCATGGAGAGTGATGTATTATTCTATTTTTTCTGCTTATAGCAGCTGGTTGACAGAAATATTCTATATATACCGTAAGTTACATTGATGAGTGCAAAAGTCTGCACAAAACAATGCTGTTTTTGTTTATATATTATCGAGCTCGATAAGTTATTATCTTTTATATTAGATTGACATTTATGAGTAATATAATATAAAGTAAAATATTTTAAAGAATTTATTAATAATATATACAGCATATAAAATAATTATTCTATTTCTTATACAACTTGTCGTATAGGATAAGGTCTTACACATGGTGAAACAGGAGAATTTCGATATTTTGTTTGATAAACCTGTTGATAGATAGTATTTTTTCCATTTTGTGTTGATGATGAACGACGATTAGGTATATAACATCTTGGTATAAAAATTTTTCGTATATGTCTTATATAATGTTTCGCTATGCGTTTTAATTCTTTACGAAATTGTCTTCCACTTAAACAATAAACATAAAAATTTAATGAACAAGTTGCTAGTATAATAACGCTAACCCAATGTGCTAACATGAAATCATCTGTTGAAAAGTAAACAAGTGATGTCATACTTGACGATAGAAAAAATAATAATGAATGTAATATTAAAACAATATTCATCCAAGACATTTTTCCAAACGGTACATTTGTTATTATTTGTGTTGATCCTTTTAAAGAACTATGCCGTTGACAATTTTGATTTCTATCATATTGATATGTTGGTGATAGAGCAGCAATTTTTGTTGTTGAAATTGTTCCTGTTGACATTGATAAATGATTACTAAGATTATGTTGTTGTCGTCGTCGTTTTACATGTGCTGTTGTACATAAAATACACGTTATTATACCAATATTAAATAGTGCAACTAATAACGATGGAATTAATTCTGAGAATAAACATCTTATTGTATGATAATTAAATCCAAACGATGGATTTTCAAAATAATTTTTCCATCCTAATGATACATGCTGTTCATTAAATGTACATTGTATTGTTGTATGAGTTTCATTAAAACTAAATAAGTAAATAAATAAATAATTCTAAAAATAACAAGAATTTTTCTTACTATGCTAGATTTGGTGAAAAAAAGAATACGGTTGGACCTGTAACAATAATAACCATTATCAATGAAATAATAATCATACATAAAAATTTATATTTTTTTAAAAAACAAGATTTTTCATGTAGATTAAATAAATGTAGACGCGATGTAACATATATAAATCTTTCGATGACCCAAAAAACAGTTACCCATGCCGCAAGTACACGAAATGATGATGATAAACGATAAATTTTACATGTTAACCAATATGTACTAACGATATTATCAGATAACCATCGTCGTGTTGTTGAATGAAGTAATAATGTATAACGAATAATACATATTAAATTAATTGAAAAAGATGTTAATGATAAAATAGCATATGTTGAGCAACAACGAAAACGACGTGATGAAAAAACCACAAGACCAAGAAGATTACCAATAAAACCCAAAATAAATAAAATAACACAAATCCAATCAGTAGTAATAACAACGAGTTCCATTCACCGTTGATACAAGTATCTATATGTAGAATAATAAAATAAAGTGTGGACTGACATAAGACACTGCAAGAATGAAAGTGAGAAGTAATAGAAAAAAGAAGAAGAAGAAGAAGGGGAAGAAGAAACAGAGAATATTCTCACGACACCGGGAAAAGCAAAGACACTGTCATAGAAGACATTTTTATTCTGTGCTATTGTCATATTGTATATGATGGAGTATTCTTGCATGAGAAAGAAAGATAATATTGAGCTTATATTTGATCGGTATTTGTTAAGAGTACAAAGAAGAAAAAACTGAAATACTATCGCACGCAATTTGATGGTAACAATTTGCGTCTGATTTCTTCATTAGGTCAAATTACTTTTTTTTTATATGTGAAGAAAAAACAAATACGGAAAATGAAAAAAACTTAGCAGCTTAATCGCACACAAATAGTTATTCATGCATTTACGTCAATTTTCATGCTAACACTCCTATTAATATAGTTTGTGAAGGAGTTACAACAGGACTCGTATAAATAATAACAGAAGTCTAATAACATTCGCGTCATACATCGGAAAAAATATTTGAAAAGCAAATATTTTTATAGATCAATAGGTAAATGGAAATATAAAAACGTCACTTTTCCATGCGTAGTTACTCCTGCATACATTTATTTACGACGTCTTTGCCTGATATAGAAGGTTTACATATAAGGGTACTTTCAATTTTGTTAAGTTTGATAAGTATAAGCAAAAAAAAGAAATATTGACGTTTCCGACACAGGCTGACGTACTATAGTCACTGTCTACATGCGTGTATGTCGAAACTGATTGAAATAAATGACACGTATAGGTTGTCTAAAATTAATTTGAAAAAATGTCGATGATGACAAGAAACTAATTGAACAATTGTTCAGTATATCATTGTTTATGCACCGATATAATGAAACGAAAGAGAAATGTCAAAAGCAATTATATACTTTAAGTACGCGAAAGCTCATACATAAATACTTTGACATTAATTTCTTTAATAGGAATCAAAAAAGAATAATAAGAAAATATTAAAGATCAATTGTAAAAAACAGTAGACAAGTGGTTTACTCCCACTTGCCTTTTACTTATGTAGAGTGCTACATATTGAATGTAGCAATTCTTCAACCGTATAATTACAAATATTTCACGACTCAATTATACTTTTCTCATCTTTATTAAAAATATTCATTATGTAGTTTCGTTTCTGACAATAAAATCAGCATCTTCTTTTCTATAGATCTTACTTTTACTATATGTCGATTAATCTATATGTCAACATTTACACACTTCTGTGTCAAAGAAACTTAAAACTCATTCTATATTATTAAAAAAATATTGATCTTATTTCTTTTTATAAAAGCATGTTATATTATTATATTCTTTAAGAAAGAAAAAATGAAGTAGTTTTAGATAACATATCGAAGGTATACATTATTTATCTGTGATAATGGTTATATGCAATCAACAAATAATTATTATTTTGTTTATAATTATAAGTTTAATTGTATTCATCTGTACCTTATATGAAATTTCATTAAATAATCAAAGAAAATTATTAATAACTATAGTTGATTATCGTTGGAATCCATTAGTAAATGTACCTGTTCAATTTGAAACAACAGATGAATACTATGAAGAATATTATACTGATAAACAAGGTCAAATACTATTCTATGCGAACAACAACCTTAATGATACAGAACTTATACATATATTAGTCGGTGGAATCAATGAAAAAATTTCATTAATGGATAAAGAAGTAACAGTAAGACTCAGTATGATTAATCGAGATACTGGTGAATCATATAATGATGATGATACCTTTAGTTAATTTTATATTTAAATAAAATAAAAAATATACAAACAATTTATATTTCACAGAGTAAATGATTTTATGAATACAACTATTTAAAAAAATGTGAAATGCCTATGATAGTTAAGTTTTTATTATTATTTACAATTATAACAGTCAAACGTAGCGAATAAAATTTATCCTTAATGTTAATGGAAAATATACAAACCGTATATAAAATGAATTGTACATTATGAGTACTCTTTAAAAAAAAACAACATTGTAAAGAGCTTATAGATTAAATTTCTGTAGGAGCAATTATAATAAAAGGAAGTGACGTAGTTAAAATCACGTGCATGAAGATTAGAAAAGTTATAGAAAGATTAAGGACTAACGAGGTATAAGAATTTTCAATTCTAGTGCGATACAATAAATGCAAAGTCATACTAATTAGGATGTCTGTCTATTCAACGAATTTATTTATCCTTACCATAAGAAAAATTTATTCTGATTGTTAAACTTTTTAGTCACACAGAAATGTAGAGATTCATCTATAATCAAATGACACTTATCTTTAATGCAATTCATATTATTAAATCGGAGGAAGAACGATAATTCAATGTAGAAACTAATACTAATAATTGAAACTGAAGAAAAAAACACATTTTTTTCATCTATTTATAATAATTTTTTTTATTTCACGCACTCTCATCTTACAAATAATGAACCAATCTTAAATCTAAAAATAATATTTAATATCTTATTGCTCATTATTTTCTTGTTTCTTGAGTAAAAACATGAAATATTTCTAAAGTGTCGTTTAACCGGAAGATATTTAACTAATTGACTAGAAACAAGTCATTATAATATCAAATAAGATCATCGTAACCCTACGGTCAAGGTTGATTTTATAATTTACAAGTTTTCGATAATTCTATGAAAATCTTATATGTCTGACGTAAATACTTGAAAGATGAAACTTAGATAAATATTTAAAAAAAATTTAGTAACTGAAGAATATAAATGGTTTTTATAAGTCGAGTGTAAATTATATGAAGTAAAAAAAATTACGCATTTTATATTAATATGTAAAAGAATATTTCTTAAATCTATATATAGATATTTAGTTTCATTCGATTGTCAAAAGGATTACATATAAACATGAAATATGTTTTGACTTTTTAATTTAGAAATAGATAATTTTATAAAGTGTATTCATATTTATATCCTTATTAATCTGAATATCATCAAAAAGGGATAATAAAAATGTACTTTTATTTCTTGTTGTCTTACTTAATTAGAGATAGAAAGCATGTTCAAGTACCACCGGTGATGTGTTATTATGTATACATTTTTTCAAAAGATTCTTGATAATATATATTTATTTTTTTAGGAATTCTTGGAAAATCATAGTGGAGGAAAAATACAGCTTCCTTTTTTCTCCCATCGTTTCATATAATTAAGAACTACGTACTATGGTTTTCTTCTCACGATAGTTAATAAATTATAGAATGAAATAAAAATATGAGAAATTGCATTTCTCACCCTGTTTAATCATTAAAAAATACTGCATATGTTGTATAGACCGTTTTCTCGAGATATCATGCTTAACAAATTGTTAGTATTAATGACTTATTAAACAGTTCAATGATATTCAAGCCAACATTAAAATATATTTAGAAAGTTCCTACAAATATTCTTTCAACGGGGAAATAATTTCTAAAACTAATTTTAGTATGCTGAAACTGTGTGTGGCATTTTATTATCGATGTTTTTTGGACGTATATTAGATCAAATATCATGTACATTGTCACAATATTTTTATCATGAGTACTAACGATTCAATCTAAGAATAGAATTCCTATAAGATTATTCTTTTGTAAAAACATGGATTAACCTTTTTAAGCTTACATAATTATGAATGTCAATGCTCGTATATAAAGATCAGTGATAGGATAAAGTGTTCTAGATATTACAGTCTGAGCGTTTATTCACGTTGAAATGTCTTTGAAATTATTCCAAGTATATTCATATAGCATAAAGGTTTATTGATTAAACAGATGTTAGTGTTCGCTGTACCATGAAATTTATCAACTTCAATATGGAGCAGTTCTGACATATTATCTATTAATTGAAAATACGTCTTCCATACTAATAATAGCGTTTTAATGCTCATGTTTTTTTTATTTTAAAGAATAGGATGTCATACATTTTGCCAATTTGATTTGTAGGCTTTGACCGTAAGTAATATGGGCTTATATAATTATAGTTGATTTTGACTAGACTAATTTTAAAATATCACTTTCATTATTAATTCTTTATGGAATATGATTGAGACTATAATTATACTACTATATTTAGTCCATGATATACAATTATATTGTCTATGTTCAGAAGGATTGAATCGATCTGTTACTTCGTTTAGTAAGTTTTAATTCTATTTTAAATTTTTGAAATACTGAAAAATCGATGCAAAACAAAGATATATATTAGAGATACCTTATAAAATGAATGTTTTGTCCTTTGTTAATTAGGATTACGAGGAATGATAGTTGTTTTGATATATGAATAAATTTTTTTTAAATATATTTAGTATATGTTATTCAGTGCACAGATGTAACCGACATCCTACCAATAGTTTGTCACAAATGTGACAGACACTATCCATTAATATTAATTAATGATTATTAGTTTGTATTACAGATCATGGCAAACGCTGAGCAGAGATTGTGATAGACGTTGTTACTTTTTATTAACTGATAATACAGTAGATATTTCATGTTTCACATTTTAATCCTATAGGAACTACGCTAATAGAATTTACTACTAGTACAAGGTAAGTATAACTAAAAAATTCACAAACTATATTTAATGAGATACCTTCGTCATGAAAAGTAACAAGTTATGAGACAGTATTTTCACTTAATACTTTTTATTTTAGTCATTATCACATATGACTATGTATATAATCACGTGAGAAGACTTAGTTTTATTATGTCTTTTCTATAAAACTATGATCAATACAATTCTTAAAATAAACGAATTTTTTATCTTCTATATGAAACAAACTGTTCTTGTAATATTCTATAATAGATTCAAGATTCAGCTTTTTGATCCTATTACTCAACGAAAGATATAATGGTATAATAAATTATTACGTGCATTATAAATAAAATATGAATGGAAATCACCAGCATCAGTTCAATTACCTTCTTTCTCAGATATTATACTATCGAAAATAATTTTGAGTTATTCCAGCGATTGACTAATTCAATAAACTGATCTATTTTGATTTAATACAATACAAACTTATAATGCATTTATAGATATATTCTATTGTGGAATAGAAAAAATATCCTATCAATGGTAATACATACACTATTATTCTCATAATTAGTTTACACAATTGTCAATATATCATAGTAAAAAATAATAATCTACCGTCTTTCTGCATATAATTCTAATTAAAAATATTAAAATATAAACTTTAAAAAATTCACAACAACACATATCAAAAATAACTGGTTGCAATGCACTATTTCTATTGAAACAGTAACTTACCTAACTCTCGTATTAAAAGTAGCTAAAGCTAATGAATATTTCTTGTACAAAACAACTCTAACCGATGCTTTAACAAATCTTTATATAATATAAATAGTGCCTGAAATGAAGTCTATATTGAGTATCCGCAAATGTCATATAGTTCGTATATTTTCCGCACTCTGTTTTGTTTAATACTACAATTATATTTTTTTGAAACAACATAATCAGACGAGGTCTAGACATTGCTATAATAAAATGACAAGTTGATTAGAAATACATTAAAGCGATAAATCAGTTCTTGTCATCATTTTTAATGAGAACGACTAGGAACTTTCTTTGTTTTCCTTACTTTTCGTAGAACGTATTTCTTAGGTGTGTTAATTATTAATCAAATTAAATTAGGAATATTTATTCCTATTCAAATTTTATCTATAATTTGTCATCTATTTTTAATTTATCATCTCATACATGATCGACAATTACGTCAATCTTTAAATAATCGTGTTATATTAGTATATTTAATAGTTGATTTTTTCTTAATAACTATTGATTTATCAATAATATTTTATTGATGCATTTCTATCAAATTTATCATTATTTTTAATGATATGGCCATCAATTGAACGTCATTGACTTATATTTTATGATCGTCAAATATTTAATAATAAATATAAACGTTTTATTTTTCATTATAATCCAATTGTTATAATAATTTTCTATACATTCATATTTTATTTTATTACAATTTTTATTCATCCAAATTTTTCAAATGCCGAACATTTTCATTATGATGAAATATTTTGTGGTCAAGCATGTTATGTCCATGCTGAATTAATTTTACATAGAATTATATGTTCAATTGTTATATTTATCTTTATTTTTACGTGTTCTATATGCAAAAAGAAAAAGACACCAGATTATAATCTGGCGTAAACATAAGAAAATGGCTGTACAAATTATATCTATATTAATATTATATTTTATTGGAACATTACCAGCTGATATTGGAGAATTATTACATATATTTAAAATTTCCTCTCATGGTGAAGAAGAATCAGCTGTACAGGAAGAAATCTTTTTATATCTTATTTCTTTAATTACACCATGTATATGTTTAATGAGTTTACCAGAAATCTATACAAAAATTCCTTTCTTACCATGTTTAAGACTAATAGTAAATGCTCGATTTAATGTAGTATTTTCTACACGTCAAAATCAAGTAGGAATAGCTGATTTGAATACACGAAGATTAACGATTAAACCAATTTAATAATTATACGAGTTATTGTTTCCTTTTTTTGTTGTTAAATAAAAATTCAACTGATGGAGTTTTTCTTGAAATGACCATTAAAATAATTGTCATAAATAAGACAATTTTTGCTAATAATAATCAGAATATAGGTTATAAAATTTCGGACGATTTTCTTGACACCGTTAATTTTCAGACGTTATCATATAACTTAATTTTTATATTAATTAATAAAGAACACAACATTTGAAATGTGTTCTAACTTATTGTAGAATAAGATGAAAAAAAAACAGAAAAACTATCTATAAATAGTTATATGTACCGACACAGTTCATAAAATTTTGTAAAGGATTCTTATGTAGATATAAATAATTGTAAAAATATAGGAATGAGGATACTTACAAGAATGCATCTCTTCTTATTCGAAAAAGCTTTTTATTTTTTTT